AGTAGCTGGGATTACAGGTGCCCGCCACCATGCCTGGCTAATTTTTTATATTTTGAGTAGAGACAAGGTTTCACCATGTTGGCCAGGCTGGTCTTGAACTCCTCACCTCATGTGATCCACCTGCCTTGGCCTCCCAAAGTGGTGGGATTACAGGCATGAACCACTGCATCCAGCCTGCATAGCACTGTTAATGCAGTAAATGTCACTGATGGTAAATTTCATGTGTATCCCCTCTCACGTCACTTGTTCTTTTCCTTCACCTTACTGCCAGAGGCAGCACAGGAAGTACTAAGGAGCAATGCTGGCATTAGAACTTTAGGCTTCCATAAACTACTTTATTTTTGTATTAAAAAACTTTTTTTTTTCCTTAAGAGACAGGGTCTCGCTGTGTCATTCAGGCTACAGTGCAGTGGTGTGATCATAGCTCACTGCAGCCTCAAACTCCTGGGTTCAAGCAATCCTCATGCCTCAACCTTCCAAACAGCTGGGCGAAAGGCACGTGCCACCACATCCAGCTCAATGGATTACTTTGTTATAAACAAGAGGTTAGGCTGGTACGGTGGCTCATGCCTGTAAACTGAGCACTTTGAGAGGCTGAGGTGGGTGAACCACGAGATCAGAAGTTTGAGACCAGCCTGGCCAACATGATGAAACCTGTCTCTATTCAAAATACAAACATTAGCTGGGTGTGGTGATGCATGCCTGTTATCCCAGCTACCCAGGAGGCAGAGAGGTCACAGTGAGCTGACATGGTGCTACTGCACTCCAGCCTGGGTGACAGGGTGAGACTCCATCTATCTCAGAAAAAAAAAAAAAATGAGTAAGAACTCAACCTGACAATTATTTTCATTCAGATGTTAGCCTTCCAGTTGCAAAGATAATAGGAAAACGTAGGCTTTAAAATAGAAACATTTTAGAAGATACTATTTACTCTAATCTCCAATGCACAAGGCATCAAAAAGCCAGATAATATAATTTGTAAGGTGCCAATTACGCCTAAATATTAAATTTGACAATGGATTCTTTTTCTAATTTACTGTGTCTGGGGTTAGCATAGTAAATAAATTCTCACTTAAATCCACAAAATCTCTATCTGCAGGTACTGATGATTCAAGTCTGTGGTCCTGCATAAGCAACATCTTTGGAGCTGTTAGAGAAGCCCTGCCTCTGAGTTTCTTAGGATCAGGGTATCTGCAAATATCAGCAATTGAGCAGTCAAAAATAACATAATGGAGACCAGGCGTGGTGGTTCACACTTGTAATCCTAGCACTTTGTTTGGGAAGCCAAGGCGCATTGCTTGAGTGTAGGAGTTTAAGACCAGCCTAGGCAACACAGACCAACCCCTTCTACCAAAAATTAAAAAAAAAAAAAAAAAGCCAGGCAGAGTGGTACATGCCTATAGTCCCAGCTACTTGGGAGGATGAGGTAGCAGGATCACTTGAAGTTCGAGGCTGCCAAAAGCTATGACTCTGCCACTGCACTCTGGCCTAGGTGATAGAACAAGACCCTATCTCTTTAAAAAAAATCAATAAATAGACGGGAAACAGGATAACTGATTCTTACCTTGTTTGGCATCATCACAAGCTGCTGACCTTTACAAATAGATCCTGATTCCAGCTTTCCCAGGACCACAGTGCCCATATCCTGATGAAATGTAAAATAAAATCAAGTTTCAGACTTACAGGTGCTGTATAACAGCTCAACAGCCCAAGATGAAATTCTACACTGCTTATTCATAAAGGAAAATCACTTGCTTAAGGAGAAGGCTTAGGTTCATCTTAAATACAGTAAAAAATACTGTGTAACAATCTGTGTCATAAGCATATGTATATCACATTAATAATTCAGTATGCCTACCATTTAAAAACAAAGTATAGTACATGGTAACAAATTATGGTACAGAAAACAGCAAAGAATTTTATTTTGGAAGATCGGAACTGTTTGTACACATTTACATTGTCCTGACCTCTAGGACTGTTTCCTCATACATAAAATTGGAAAAAACAATCCTTGTTACAGAAATTTAGAATGAAGCTAATGAAAGAATGATGTATTTGAGATGGGCAAAAATATTACATAAATTGATACTGCAAAACTTAAAATATATTCAAGTTGGAAATCCAGTTAAAAACAAAGAAGTTAGTTTACGTTTGTTTGTTTCTTTTGAGATGGAGTCTCACTTTGTCACCCAGGTTGGAGTGCACTGACACAGTCTTGGCTCACTATAACCTCTCCCTCCCAGGTTCAAGCGATTCTTCTACCTCAGCCTCCCAAGTAGCTGGGACTACAGGGGTGTACCACCACACCGGGCTAATTTTTGTATTTTTAGTAGAGATGGGGTTTCACCAAGTTGGTCAGGCTGGTCTTGAACTCCTGACCTCATGATCCACCGCCTCAGCCTCCCAAAGTGCTGAGATTACATGTATGAGCCACTGCACCTGGTCAGAAGTTTATTTCTTTTTTT